TGTTCTTTGGTAGGTTTTTGATTACCAGTTCAATTTCATTGCTGGTAATTAGTCTGTTCAGATTTTCTGTTTCTTCCTTGGTCAGCCTTGGAAGGCTATATTTTTCTAGAAAGTTGTCCATTTCTTCTAGGTTATCCAGTTTGTTAGCACATAATTTTTCATAGTATTCTCTAATAATTCTTTGTATTTCTGTGGTGTCTGTAGTGATTTTTCCTTTCTCATTTCTGATACTATTTATGTGTATAGACTCTCTTTTTTTTTTTGGTAAGTCTGGCTAGGGGTTTATCTCTTTTGTTTATTTTCCTGAAGAACCAGCTCTTGCGTTCATTGATTCTTTCTATTGTTTTATTCTTCTCAATTTTATTTGTTTCTCCTCTAATCTTTATTATGTCCCTCCTTCTACTGACTATGGGCCTCATTTGTTTTTCTTTTTCTAATTTTATTAATTGTGAGTTTAGACTGCTTATATGGGATTGTTCTTCTTTCCTGAGGTAAGCTTGTATTACAATATACTTTCCTTTTAGCACAGCTTTGGCTGTGTCCCACAGCTTTTACGGTGTTTAATTATTGTTGTCATTTGTCTCCATATATTGCTTGATCTCTGTTTTAATTTGGTCATTGATCCATTGGTTATTTAGGAGCATGTGGTGAAGCCTCCATGTGTTTGTGGGATTTTTCATTTTCTTTGCATAAGTTATTTCTAGTTTCATACCTTTGTGATATGAGAACCTGGTTGGTACAATTTCAATCTTTTTGAATTTACTGAGGCCTTTTTTGTGGCCTAGTATATGACATATTCTTGAAAATTTTCCATGTGCACTTGAGAAGAATGTGTATTCTGGTGCTTTTGGGTGTTGAGTTCTATAGATGTCTGTTAGGTCCATCTGTTCTATTGTGTTGTTCAGTGCCTCTGTCTCCTTACTTATCTTCTGTCTGGTTGATCTGTCCTTCAGAGTGAGTGGAGTGTTGAAGTCTAGAATGAATGCACTGCATTCTATTTCCTCTTTTAATTCTGTTAGTATTTGTTTCACATATGTGGGTGCTCCTGTGTTGGGAGCATAGACATTTATAATGGTTATATCTTCTTGTTGGATTGACCCGTTTATCATTATGTAATGTCTTCTTTGTCTCATTATTTTCTGTGTTTTGAAGTGCCTGCTTTATTTTAACAGAGAAATACCACCACCAGTGCAACCTAAGAATGTACTGAATGCAACAAGTCCCTCACTGGAAAAATGAAGATACCACATGCTGTGAGGCTGAAACAATCTCACACACACACACACATATGGAACAGCTGGCTGGATTCAGCACCAACGACTTGCATTGTTCCAAGTATGCTAAATGTCAACACCCATGTTCAGAAACTGAGATCATGCGACATAACCTTTGGAATTTCACAGTTTTGATCAAACACATAAAGCTAGAGCAAAACACCAAGAATATATCTGCTCTGTGATACAAAGAGAGCAAAGAATCTGAGACAGTACGCATAAAGTCTGCCACGGTAAGTAAACAATCAAGTTAAATAAACCAACAGGAACAGCATAGAAAGGGTATGCATTCTACCATGTCACCTCCCATCCTAGCAGGGCCCACCCTTCTTCAATCTTTCACTTGAGTCCACTCTTTAAAGACTTCCAGACTTTAATCTTTCTTAATTATCCTTCTTTAAAATTCAAAATCTAAGCATTTCATACTTTTTAGGATCATTATGATTAAAATAAGGCAGAAAGAAGACAGGGCGCAAGGCGGTGATCAGCAGTGTGCTCCTCCCTGGAGGCTCCTGGAAACGCCCATTTGTAAAAACCCACTGAAATAGCACTACATCATTCATGCAATTACACCCACAGATGATGCTAACTAATGCTCTGATGATTCGAAAGTAAAAGAAACCCAAATATTTGAGATCAGTGAAAACATTGTATTTCCACAGCCAGGGGCATTCCAGCCTCAGTACCTCCCAGCCTCCTACTGCACTGCAGTTGGGAGTAAAGGAAGCTACTCTCCCCAGGGAGACGCTCCGGGGCTGGGGTTGGGGCCTCAGGTCTGGGAAACTACGTCTGGCTCATTCTGCCTGGACGTCTGTTTCAAATTATTCTTTTTCACTATATACTTACTCTTGTGAAGCTATTGAGTTTTGTCTTTGTTTTCTTCCCCTAGTTTTCCCTAAGAATCTATACTGGCCAATGTAAGGTTGAACTACTAAAGCCTTATGACTCAGAATAAACTTCTGGTAAATTGGTAAGAGCTAATGTATTTGAGTGCCTACCAATAATATGTGCTGATACTGAGCATAACCAGTCTGTGTCAGATATATTCCTAATAATTATACTGTGTTGCTTTTCTTACACAATATAAATACTCAAGGATGTAAATCCTTTGGATAATATCAAAAATTCACCTACCAAATTAAATATTACATGCTGAGAGGCAGCATTCATTAAGAAGGCATAATCAGAAACTATGATTCCTGATTCAAATGTCATCTTAAGATTCACTCACTGGATGATCCTTGTGCAAGTTCTCTAACGTAGTATTAGGGCCTTAGTGTCTCATTTGAAAAACAGGGAAACAAGTGTGTACTTTAAAGGATTTGGATGAGATTTAAGTTGCAAAACACACTTGCAACACAGAACATATATATATATGCATATATAAACTTATGAAGAGTCATATGTGGTTATAACCAACCACCCAAAAGGAAAGTAAGCTGCAGATTCACTGAGCTTTACAAGTTGGTGGGACTTTGAACACTTTTTTGAACTTTGTTTAAAAAACATTGTTTCTCTTTCCTTGTTATAAATATATCACTGAAACGACAGCTCTGCTACTAGACCTGGTAAGGGTCTGCAGGGGGCGGGGTGGAGGGAGGCGTCAGGACAAGACCGACATAACATCAGAGGGAGGCAGGCAAGCACACTAGACCGCTGTACACATAAAATGCATAGTACACATAAAATGCAGAGCATAATGTCTGTAATTCAGAAAAGTAAATTCAGCTAATGTAACTATTATTAGGACCATTCAGCTGGCCCTGTGTTCATGATTTGGGCACATATACATGCATGCAAAACACACTTGCAACACAGAACATATATATATATGCATATATAAACTTATGAAGAGTCATATGTGGTTATAACCAACCACCCAAAAGGAAAGTAAGCTGCAGATTCACTGAGGCTGCCACATCTCAAAATGCTTCATGTTCAGTCGATTTTTGAAATAACTGTCTTAAAAAATTCAGCAGTTACAGGGAATCTGGGCAAAATTTTGCAAGAACAGCTTTTCTTCCAAATGTATTGCCAATATGAATTTAGTTATTAATTGAACATTAGCATATCTGTTATATATTGTGCATATTCTTCTGGTAAGTCAGCTGCTACTTAGTTACACAATAGCTTTAAGAAATTAGTAAGTTGCTCTTCCAGAATATTAAGCAGCTTACAGGTCAGGTTTCTTAAAAAAGCTTAGATCCTAAGCAAGAAAGTGGCATTTTGCATGAACACATGCTCTACAACAAGTCAGAACAAACACAAAAAATGCTAACTCAAAGTCGTATAATGTTTTAGTAATTGTAAAAAATGTTCAAATGATATGAAACCAAGTGAAGAAAGTAAAAAATAATGAGACATAACAGTACAGAGATTTGAAGCTTTAACTTTCCACTCACATACAGGGAGATGCCATGTGCACCCATGCCCAAGTCACCGCTGTTTGGAAGTGGAGTTCATTTACAATGGCATCTATGTTTCTTAAATGTTACAACTACCAGTATCCAGTTTTGCATCTTTTTTTCTATCCTGGTTAGTATTTTATTATCTGCACCCTATTTGGCACCTGAATAGATCTTTTCCCGGGCTTCCTTACAGTCCTCTACCCTTTATTTCATCAATTAAAAAGGGATTTCAACATCAAATTCAGTGTTGTTCTTTGGTCTAAAACACTTCACAGGAGCAATGATATACATGGAAGCTCACCAAAGAGTATATTTGATGGTATACTGATCGCCTTAAACATGATACCAATGAAAGGAAACACTGCAATTTCAATAATTAATCCTGAGAACAGAAAAACAATAGAATTCAGTACAAAAGTATTCAGTTTCTTTCCTAAGTTTCCTTGTTGGAAGTAGAGGAGACAGTAGGTGGAGACATTCTAAGTCTAGAAAACTGGAAGCAAATATTAAGAAGCTTTACAAGTTGGTGGGACTTTGAACACTTTTTTGAACTTTGTTTAAAAAACATTGTTTCTCTTTCCTTGTTATAAATATATCACTGAAACGACAGCTCTGCTACTAGACCTGGTAAGGGTCTGCAGGGGGCGGGGTGGAGGGAGGCGTCAGGACAAGACCGACATAACATCAGAGGGAGGCAGGCAAGCACACTAGACCGCTGGCTGAGGGTCGAGCATATGAGCCTCCTGTTCCTGGCATCATCGGTGCTGCTGTGCACTGTCTCCATCTGACCACAGCATCTTCCTTCCTCTTCCATTTGGGGCAAGTTGGACCTGCCACGGGGCTGCAGGCACTAAGGGTTACTGGTCATGAGGGACTAGACACTCAGTCTACTACATGCTTTCAATGGACCATCTCACTTAAAGCAGTTGGTAATGAGAAGTAAATTATCTGTTTATTTTTTAGTCAACTATCAGACAAACAGGAGATCACAGAGACGATATTTTCAAAATTGGCAGTGTGTTTATGAACCCAATGTTCACTATAAATCTCACACATAAAAGATCTAAATACAAATTTTTATGTGTTTCTGAGCAGATTTTCCCCTCTTCCATTTTACATCAAATTTCTAAGTCAAGCCTCCCCGTGTTTTTTGCATAGATTAAAATTAGTGTGTTGAACAGTATGGAAATGGTTCAATCAGGATATCTCTTACTTTCTGATTTCTGACTGCTGTGTTCTATTTAGTTCACTTCCTTTGTGGAACAGCCCATTACAATAGGGGAACTGAAGAGCAAAGAACAAATGGCAGCCCTCTTACCTGTTTGAGGGCCTTTTTGGTGTGCTGCTGGAAGGAAGACACTAGCTTGCTTTGCACAGCTGTGTTAGTGAGGCTTGAGTCCCGAATGGGAGACGCTTCATCAGTTACCTGCTTCACACAGACTAGAAACAGAGAAAGGTGATATTACTAAATTGAATTCCTTTTTTAATATCCACTGTAATTAACTCACTTGGAGCTTTTCTTTAATTGAGATTGGAGACCTAAAATAAAGCAAAATGACAGAGTAAAAAGAGAAGTATCTATATTTGAAAGAAGGGGTCTCTTAGTAACTGTGTGGCCACAGTTACATTAAGCCTCAGTGAGACTTCATTCTTTACCCACTAATCAGTGGTAATTTCTATGTCATAGGGCTATTATAGGGACATGAGGAAGGGTACGCTATTTGCCTTAGGATCTTAGAATCAGAAGATATTTTCTGAATCTTTATATGGAAGTTGGGCAATGCATAGTGTCATCAAGAAACAATATAAATTAATGAAATTATTTTAAATCTACCAACCTCAGAGGTATTACGATTTTCCTATTGGAACAGCTTCCTTTCCATAGAATCTATGCCCTACATGTCTGTCATCCCCCCCCCCCCCAGGGGCCAAATCACATAGCATGGAGAAGGAAAAATGAAATCCAAGATGCTGGCTGTCAATTTAAGATAATTGTTTTCAAGAAAATCTTTTCCTGTGCAGATTACAGTATAATCAATCTGCCCATTTTCACCAGGGTCCAGCTCTCCTATTTTATCTCCAGATAAAATAACCTGCTTCTCGTATAGAAGACACTTTCTTCAGGAAGGCTGCTCCTAGGAAGGGCCGGGGTTTCCCCAGGGTGGGCAGCCACATCCACTTCCTGCTTTGAGAACCTAGCCTGGAGCTAGGGCTCTTTCAGGCCCCTTCAAATGCCCCACCAAGAGGCCAGGTTTGACCCAGAGTGATTCTGGCAGGAACCCAGGCACAGGCCCTTTCCTGCACACACTGAGGGGCAGGGAGCAGCTGGGAAAATCAAAGCAAGGAAGCACCTGAGGCAGAATGCAGGCAAAAATCAAAGACAGGAGGCAAGAGGAAGTCAGAAGAAAATGACTTGAGAACATACAGAAAAAGCTCAAAATGCAACTTTTAAGGGCACCAAGATTAACTCTAATCTGGGAAAATTTTCCAAAGAATAATAACTCAGGAAGATTCTGATCTGAGTTTTAATGGAAGGTGGAGGAGTAAAAATTATTCTAGTCCAAAATGATAGTAACATGCACATGCACAGTGTTGAGGACACTCAAGCTGCTTCAGAGAGACTCAAGTGCATATTGCCTAGAAATGAAAATGTGGGTCATAAAAGAATGTTGGGAGAAAGTTAATCAAGTGTTGTTTCAATACAGGCAGTAATCAGATCACTGATTACTGAACAAAATGAACAAGTTTTGGAAGATGAAATAATTGTTAGTTATTAACACCAGGCGCTTTACATATGGGATCTCATTTTGTCCTCACAGCTTCCTTGCAAGACGGAAAGGTATTATTTCCGTTTGGGGCAGAGAAAGTTAAAGCTCAGAAAGGCTCAGTTACTTGCTTGTGGTCACACAGCCAATGAAATAGCACAACTGGGATCCAAGGCTGGGCCCATTATTTTCCACTTAAAATATATGGCCTCAAAGCCAAAAACTTATGCAAAAAAATGAATGTCTAAAGAGGTTTAATTCAGCTACATCACGCTGAGTCACTGCAGTAGGCAGGGCAGGGAAAACAGGTCACTTAGACAGCGACATGAAAAAGTTGAGAATTGTGAGCAAGAGAATTGTGGGCAAGAAATACTATGGTTGATGCAGCAAAAGGGTCTGCCTGCAGATGGAGTCAAGGAGGTCCTTGAATTAAAGATCAGGTGACTTTCTTCTATTTGACATAATATGACACTTTTTCCTTACAACAGTCCAATTGTTCTAGTGAAAAAACATTTTGTGACACTGCTTGCAGAACCTATGGCTCTTGGGCTTCTCTCCTTGAAATGATCACTAAAGTAATTTGTAATGCTTTGCTAAAGCTTACTTATCAATAAATACTAGAAAAAACCATCAGTTTACAATTCTAAAATAAATGTATTGTTGAACTGAGTATGAAGACAGACTTGTCAATGTTAAATGTTCCGATGTCTCTGAGAGGTGTGATGGCCCAGGGAGGTGAGCAGACAGGGAGGGTGGCTCCCCGGGCAGGACCTAAGTGGGTGCGGCACACGCCCAGCCAGCGGGCCGGCAAGCACACACTGACAAGTGCGTTTCATTGAGTTCCCATCCTCAGAAAAGACTTCTGCCTAGACAAATGGAGAGGTACTGATTAGCTAGTTAAAAAGAACAAAATGCAGTCTATGGGTTCTAGGAATTTTGTGTAAAATATGACAATGGTTCTGCATACTGACAAACTGGAAAATTTGTTGAGGAAATGGTTTTATCTGTAAGTCTTCCAAAGGCAAATGTCAACGAAGCAGGACCAACAAGGAACGGATACTGGAGCCGTGTACATGGGGCGAAAGCCCGGCTGCCCGCACTGTCTGCAGCTACGGTCTCAGTCGGCCGTCCTGCCTCTGCGTAACAGAAACTTAATGCACAGTCGCTCCATTTCTCCTTGGCCTGAGAAACCACAGGGTGTGGTGATACTTATTTCAGTGTCAGAAAATACAGTGTATCTTTGGTTTAAATTCACTATTGCCATGTTAACAGGTGACCTACATGTATTTATTTACATTCTGTACACTTTGGAGGCAGGACAACAAAACGGAACAGTGTCAGTAAAGACTATTACTTTTTTTCTCAAAATGACTCATTTTCATTTAACTCAACTTCTGTTTTGCTTTATCTTACATTCCATGCTGGACCCAAAGAAGCCTCACGGGAATTCCCTTACTACACAGTCATTCCCCTCCCTGATTCCTCCTTCTGGAACCTGGTCCTCTTTCTCTGGGTCAAATAATTTTTCCTTGTTTTTAAATTTCTGATGAAATAACTACAGAATCTTAAAGAAAGTAAATATAATAGAAAATAAAATCTGTGAATGTTCCTTTGGGCTAAAAAAATAACAACTTATTTCTAAGGAAAAAAATGGGCACAATGTAAAATATTCCATTGGCTCCAGACAGTGAGCTTGTGCATCTACATCTGTGTGTGTGTGCATATACTGACAAATACAGACCTTTAACAGGCATATGAGTGACTTTATTCATTCTTTTGAGTGTATGTGATGAGGGTGGCTGAATCCAAAAACACTCAGTAGTTGGATATACAGGTTTATCATGCAGATTCATATTCTAACAACACACTTTTACTTATTCTTACAGCTTTCTTAATAACAGATGTGATAAATAAATAATATAGGGCCCATCTTAAACAGGTGCCTGCGTATTTATCTAACGGACTGTGTTTGGCCTCTGCAATACCAGCCAAGGGAAAACTAATGTTAGTGAAAAGACCAGGGGAAATCCCCGGTATGAGAAATTACAACAGGAGCCAGGAAACGGAGGAATCAGGACAGGTGTTTCATCCACGAACATCAAATGCACACAATGCAGCTTAGAAGCACTTTCTTTCCGGTGCTGAGAACAGGATGGGGGATTCTTCCTAGCTGCTCTGGCAATCACAAGAGGAGCACCGGGAATCTCACTTCCAAGCCCACAGAGCTCCTGCCCTTTCCCAGGTAGAAAACCTGGAGGTGAGGAGACATCTTTTAAGAGGTATAGAAATACTATTTCTGTCTATATTGTGCTTGCCTACCAAAACTAGGCAAGCCAAAAACACAGGTAAATGCTGACCTGCTAGTATCAGGTGCAAACAGGTCCTAAGATTCTCAGTATACACTCAAAGGCTGGGGAGCAGAGATGGAGGGTCACGGCTAGTCATGAGACAATCCTGAGGCTGGAGAAAGGTGCCTATCCCAGCAGGACAGGACTTTACACTCGTTTCTCAGCCCCTCGTTGCCCCTCTCCCTCCCCTTTTCCATTCACCATTCAACTGGAAACTGCTGAGTTGGGGAGTATGGGAAAGAGCTCATATTTTCAAGTTGAGTGCCAGAAATGAAGGCATGTGCGATGCTTCCAAAGCGTAATCACTGACCCGCCCACAAGTGCACAAGAGGGCTGGACCTTTGGACCAAGGCACAAGAAGAGAGATCAGAATGCAGTCTTGATTTTGTCTTTAGTTCCAATCTCACATCTTGCTCGCCTTCCTGACTTCCACGCCCTTTGATGCAGCCAATGTAGACTGCATGTTATTTTCTGAACACATTTACTGCCTGCATTTATTGCCCTTGTTTTGACTGCCCTCCACCCAAATTCCCCTCCCCATCTCTCTGCCTAGCAAGCCGAACATGAATAGCTCCCCTCAGAGGTTTCCTGACCACCCAGCTCAGAGGCTGACTTATGCCTCCTCCACCCATGTTTCCTTGGCTCTCTGTGTTTGAATTTATGACATTCTCTGCGATGCTGGCGCTTCGTCTGCCTCACCATGCACAGGAGCAGGGACTCAGGGACTCACTTATATGCTAGGATGGGCACAGAGCAGTTGACTTATAAGTGTTTATTTAACTAAACTGTCAGACTTAATTTTCATTGTTTATCTAATTGATCTGTGATCTAAAGTACCTATTTTTAAAGTGAAGTTTCAGTTGCTCTTTTTCCTAAGAATTCATGAAAGGGGAGGGTCCAGAGTACATAGAAGGTGAAATTTTTATCTGAAAACAGAAGGCTTATTTAAAATTTTTTTGAAGTTATCCTAAAGTCAAGTAGAAAAAGCATTAAAACAAAACCACAAAACATCTCTGGCAAGGGTATGACCTGTCACTAGATGTAGATAAACTCCCAAGCCCTTGTTCATTGCCTTGTTTTAAGAGGAAGGTCACAGTTTGGAGGCTGTGCACAGTGAAATAAAAATAAGTATAATTTAAAAGTCAAAATTAGAAATCACAATGCTTACTTGAAATGGCAGGAGCTATGTGGGGGCAGAGCCACAGAACCACAGCCTGGGCATAGGACAGTAACCACTCTCTGTCCCACTGAACCACACGGTATCCACAGGTTTCATCAAGGCAGGGAAACAAACACCTTCTGATCAGTTTCATTTCTATCAGTTCTC